AGGAGGCCCGGCCCGCCGGGGAGCTCCGTGCTGCTGCCCGTGGAGACGTTCCTGAGCCCCCTCTTTCCTCCCCTGTAGGGCGTCATGGTGGGTATGGGTCAGAAGGACTCCTACGTAGGAGATGAAGCCCAGAGCAAGAGAGGTATCCTGACCCTGAAGTACCCCATTGAACACGGCATCATCACCAACTGGGATGACATGGAGAAGATCTGGCACCACACCTTCTACAATGAGCTTCGTGTGGCCCCTGAAGAGCACCCCACCTTGCTCACTGAGGCCCCCCTTAACCCTAAGGCCAACCGTGAAAAGATGACCCAAATCATGTTTGAGACCTTCAACGTCCCTGCCATGTACGTGGCCATCCAGGCTGTGCTGTCCCTGTATGCCTCTGGCCGTACCACTGGTGAGTGCGAGTGTCCCACTGGCCCTTCTTCTCTGAACAAGGACACCCAGGACTGGCGCCCTACACCAACAAGTGCTCTGACCCCTGGGGCAGGGCCCTTTGTGGGCTGTGTCTCAAGTGGCTGCTTATTGTTTCCCCAGGTATTGTGCTGGACTCTGGCGATGGTGTGACACACAACGTCCCCATCTATGAAGGGTATGCCCTGCCCCATGCCATCATGCGCCTGGATCTGGCCGGCCGGGACCTCACTGACTACCTGATGAAGATCCTGACTGAGCGTGGCTATTCCTTTGTCACCACAGGTAAGCACCGTTCCCTCCTCCAAAATATCCCCTCTCTTCCAACCGTTCCACCTCCAGGGATGCTGTTGCCTCCTGCCCCATTGCAAGCCCCATGAGCAGCTCCTGTTGGGAGTTTGCGTGTGGTTGCAGGTCTCGAGTCCCAGCAGACCTATGGAGGAGATGTAGGCATTCCCTGTTCCTCCTTTGCAATCACTGATGCCTTTTCTCCCCCCTGACAGCTGAACGTGAGATCGTCCGTGACATCAAGGAGAAGCTGTGCTATGTGGCACTGGACTTTGAGAACGAGATGGCCACTGCTGCCTCTTCCTCCTCCCTTGAAAAGAGCTACGAGCTGCCTGATGGGCAGGTCATCACCATCGGCAACGAACGTTTCCGCTGCCCAGAAACTCTCTTCCAGCCTTCCTTCATTGGTGTGTGTGCTCCGCTTCCCTCTCTCCTCCCCTACCAGCTCTTCCCTCTCTACTGAGTCCCCCTGGAGAGCTATCGCTCTGCGCTTAACTTGTGCCTCCTTTTCTGCCCTTCCCTCCCCTAAGGTATGGAGTCCGCAGGGATCCATGAGACCACCTACAACAGCATCATGAAGTGCGACATCGACATCAGGAAGGACCTGTACGCCAACAATGTCATGTCTGGGGGTACCACCATGTACCCGGGTATTGCTGACCGCATGCAAAAGGAGATCACAGCCCTGGCCCCCAGCACAATGAAGATCAAGGTAAGGCTGGAGTGTGAAGGACGCGGGTGCAGGAGCAGCCTTCTCTTGCCCTCCTGCAAGCGGCGCATGGGGCTGTTCCCACCCCTGTGCCTGTCACCCGCAGCAGTTGCTTGTTTACTGATCTTGGCTCTCTTGTTTTTTTCTAGATCATTGCCCCACCTGAGCGTAAGTACTCTGTCTGGATCGGTGGCTCTATCCTGGCCTCCCTGTCCACCTTCCAGCAGATGTGGATCACAAAGCAGGAATACGATGAAGCTGGTCCATCCATTGTCCACCGTAAATGCTTCTAAACGTGTTTACATGATCACTTTGCTAACTACGCTCAGGATGACAACCTTCTAGGTTGCAGGCTGCCGAGGGCCTGCAACAGCCATGTCACTTTCTATTTTGTAACGATTTCTGGTTACTGTTGCTGCAAAGCTCCACGTGACACTGTATGTAAAGTGTACATAAATTAATTTATTTTACCTCATTTTGTTCATTTTTAAAACCAATGCCCTGTGGAAGGAAACAAAAAACTTCAAGAAGCATTAAATCATCAGTCATTCTGTCACACCCCTAATATGGTTGCTTCTGTTGTCATTTGCGTGCTTTCTTCCATCACTTGTTGACATAGCGCATCGTCTGATGTCAGGGGTGGTGGGTGGTGGGGCTGGAGCTCCCCAGGCAGGAGGAAGGCAGGGGAAGGGACAGGATTCCAGCCAGAGAAGCCAACTCTCTGTGACTTGCTTGGGTTGCAGAGAGCTCAGCCCTGTGGAGAGCAGCCTGGGGGTGCCCGTGTCTTGCATCACGCTGCTGCAAGGTGGGTGCCCGCCGCCCTGCAATGTGCTTCCCCCTAGGCCTGGGGGGGAAAGGGTTACCTAGAGCCTTGGCTTGCAAGGGATTTTATTTGCCTCAGCTTGCCAAAAAAGTAGCCCTGGCACGCTTGTGGAGCTCTAAGACATGATGGATGGAGGCAAGGCTGGGGCCGAGGGCAGGTGGCTGGGGCCGAGGGCAGGTGGCTGGTGCAGGTTAAATAAAGAGCTTTCCACTCCGCATATGGGAACCTGCCTGTCGCCGTGCTGTCCCTGGGGTGCCAAGGGCAGCCAGGGCCACTTCCTCACCCTGCCTGACACGCTTGCCCTTGCCAGTGGTCTCACATGAGAGGCTGCCTGCACAGGGCCTACCCCTTCCTCTCCCCTCCCGGGGCCAGATCCTTCACTCGGGGACTCCCTGGGAGCCGAAGGAAACCCCAGGGGCTTCCCCCCGCTGAGGGTGTTCGCCTGCACTTCTTGCCTCTGAGGAGGCAGAGCAGAGTGGGAGGTGGGGAAGCTGCCTGTGTCTGTCTCCCTTCTCTCTTGCTGGGGTGGGGGGGGCCCTGGGACCCCCCCCTTTGGTTCCACTGTCCCCCGTCTCCCACCAGGTGCTCAGCTCCCTCGGGGAGCCACTCTAAAGCCCTGCCAGGCTTGGCACAGCTCCTGGGTCAGGGCACATGTGCAGGAACAGGCAGTCTTTGGAGGAGGAGGACTCCTGGAGCACAGAGCCCTGGCAGGAAAGTAGTGCTTGAGTTTTGGGGTGTCCCTTTCCTGTGGGAGATAGCAGTGCTGGGGAAAAAGATGATTTTCAGCTGAACTTCCAGCCCAGGAAGGTGTTTTTCTCTGCTGTGACTATGCTAGAGTGCACTTGTTTTGCATTTTGGCTGTTTTTACCTGCCTTAAATTGAGACCCACGTGTGAGTACATTTTTTTGTAGCCCTATCCCAAAGGAAAAGCTTGTGGGAAGAGCTGACCTGATCCTTCCCATGTATCTGGGGGCCAGGCAGGCCCCTGGGCAGCTCTAGGAGCTCCTGAATTGAGACCCCTCTCTGAGTGACAAGTTGGACTGGAAAGTAGAAACGTGGTTGCTTCTTAAAAACCAAACACGAACTTTTACTCGCTGCGTGTGCAAGTTGTGTAGTGGCACATATTTCTTCTGATAGCTCTGTGTTGGGGTTTGGGAAGATGCCTAACTAATGTTTAGTCCTTAGTACCTGACCCCTGATCTCGGGTTCAATTGTGGCTGAAGTGGTGTAATGAGATGGATTTTGAGACCTGCTTCTGTTATTTGATTAAAAGGCTGGTTTAGAAGCACAGATAAAAGTTAAGCTAGAAAATCAGCCTTGTGGATTAGGCAGCACTCGCTGTGGGGTAACAGCACAGACTCAGCTTTTCCATTTGTGTCATTAAAGTGAGGATCCTAAACCCACAGTAAAAGGGGCTGATTTGGAGGGGGGGAGTGATGCTGAGCCAGCCCTCTCCCTCCAGCCTGGTCAAGACCAGTGGGCGCAGAGGATGCCTGCTCCCTCTCAATGAAGATCTAGATTTTGCAGTGCCAAGCTTGGGTTTAAGACTGCTTGTGTGAGCACAGCCTTGAGTAGAGGGCAATCCTCCAGCAACCAGGGCACTGACAGGCACTGCTTCACATAGGGAGACCAGTATTGCCACTGGCATCTCCTTGTCTGATGTCTCTAACAGCAGCACTGTGTCTCATACTAACCCGCAGCATCAGGTAGCTAAGCACCTCAATAGTCTTAGTGCCAGTTCCATCCCGTTGAAGTGAAGTGCCAAAAAGTGCATTTTTACAGCTGAATAAGAAGACTGGCTTCTTGTTTTGGTTGCTGAATCAGCGAACTGAGATGCAACGTATTTTTAAGCCCATCAAACCAAACCTATTCAGGTTTTAATTTCAAAGCAAAACACAAATCTGAAACTAGCCTTTTATTTGGACCTGGGATTTTCAGCAATTGAAGACACATTGTATGGAAACAAGTGAGTTGAATTTTCACATGGCTCACAAGTGCCAGTGTTGGGAAGGTGTTTGAAGAAATTTCGATTGCGCACAGCAGTCCAGGTTTGGTCCTTGCTGTGCATTTCCCAAGAATTTAATTATCCTCCCTGCACCTGTAACAGTGCTGTTGGTGGCAGGTGAAGCATCGCCAGGACCAGCATCCTCCTGTTTGAGAAAGGCCAAGGAATAAGCCTGACCACAGAGGAGTAACAGGGAACAGAAGGAAGGAGGTGGGACACAGACGTGCCGTGGGAGGGAGGGTAATGGCAGAATGGCTCTTGCCTGCACCAGCAGCATCCTCGGGGGCTGGAGCTCACTGCTTGCTCTACAGCCTGCTGCAGCTGGGGCTGGACCACTCCAGGATAATCTGCCATAGCTTGGCTCCACAGTGGGCAATGCAAGAAGCTGCCCTAGATGCAAGTGTCACCAAGGGATGGAAAATCTGGAAAAAGAAAGTCCTTGAGGGGACAAAAATTATGTGGGGCTGTTTAAATGAGCTTGGGAGGCAGAGTCATGCCCAGGCTTTGATGTAAGCTTCCCTGGGGTCTGCAGATCTATCAGCTGCTTGCTAAATTATTTAGGAAGATGAGCAACAGGGAAAACCTGTATTTTGAGGGACAGGCTTGAGGGAGCCTCTGAGCAAACGAACAAAGGGAATCCTGGAGAAGATTAAGACACTGGGGCTGCTTCCTAATTTCATTTTGATAGAGATTTTGCTAATGTGAAAATCTGCATTGCACAGAGCAGAGTGAGGTCCAGGATGGGCCACATCCCACAAAATGTCATGGCTCTGTTCCCTCCTTGGGAAAGGGAACTGGCACCCTGATACACTTCTCTCCTGAGGCTCCAAAACTGCAGAAATGAAAAGCACTTTGACCTGCAGTATTTATTGCATTTGGCTTTGCTGAGAGGACCTGAACAACCAACAGTGTAGCTCCACTGCGTACTCAGTTGACTGTGAATCTCCTGTGGGCATTTGGACAATAATATTTATTCAATGAGATATAGTAAAAGGTCACTTGAAAATTACCATTATTTTTCACAGGAAACTCCTAAGCAACACATTCTGTGGAAATCTTTCTTTTCGAAAGTAAAGCATTAAAATGAAGCCCTTCAAAGCACAGTTCAAAACTTCAAATGCTTTTATTTTATAAGAAAAATATTTCCTATTTCTATGTCATTAATCCACAGAAATACTTAATCAAATGGACCATTGCCTGTTCGGGTTTCTGTCTTTCTTTTTGAAACAAACAGGCATTTTTCTTTAAAAAATAATTAAAAGAGCTATTCAGTTGTATAGATTTCCATGGTGCATCTCCTGGGGCTGGAAAAGGGAGCACATGGGGGTAACTGTAACCTGTTGATCAGCCAGTGGGTAACTGCAGGCAGTGCTGGTGTGCAGGGCTCCCACGTGGGACAGGTGCCAGTCACGGTGGGTGGCTTTAGCAAGAGGGCTATTCGGAGCACCCTCCAGCCTCATGCTCTTTCCCGGGAACTCCTGGCAGTTTGGGGCATCCTCTTCAGTCCCTCATGGGCAGTACAGCCTTCAAGGAGACCAAAAGGGTCTGGCTTGAAGCCTGGGAATTAGTTGTAATTGCAGCTGGCAACAGCTCTGGGGTTTATTTCACAGAATCATAGAATCGTTTAGGTTTGAGAAGACCTTTAAGATTGTCAAGTCCAACCATAAACCTAACACTGCCAAGTCCACCACTTCCCCGGGCAGCCTGTTCCAGTGCTTGACAACCTTTTTGGTGAAGAAATTTTCCCTGATATCCAATCTAAGCCTCCCCTGGTGCAACTTGAGGCCATTTCCTCTCATCCTGTTGCTGGTTGCCTGGGAGAAGAGACTGACACCAACCTCTCCACACCCTCCTTTCAGGTAGTTTTAGACAGCGATAAGGTCTCCCCTCAGCCTCCTCTTCTCCACACAACCCCAGTGCCCTCAGCCGCTCCTCATACGACTTGTAAAGCACCTTCTGATTGCTGTGCAGTGGGGAAAGCCGGGAGTGTTGTTGGCTCCCACTGGAGATGTGGGCTGTGTGTGATGGAGATAAGCAGATGATGGAGAAACCTTTTATTGCCCAGGGATCTCCTTCTTCCACCCCCAGGGCATCCTGCCAACTCCGAAACTACACTGCCTGGTGCAGAACTGGGGCCAGCAGCGTGCAAACCTCCAGCACTGCAGTGACCCTGGGCTGCTTATCCTCTTGCCCTTGCAGGGACCACAGCCAAAGCCCATCTCATCTCATCTGCTCAAGGCCATGCTCTGAAACCAAATTGTGTGGCTGGAGGCAGCTCTGGCTGCTGTTGCTCAGGGAGTGCTGCAGGCAGCCAGGGAATGAGCCTCTCTGTAACCCCACCTCGGGGAGCTGCATATATATAGATCCCTGGAAGCAGCTTTCTTCCTTGGCACATCCCTCCCACCCATAACACCTTCCAAACACGCTCTCCCTGCCCTCCTGTGCCCTCACTGCTCGGCTTCCAGCAGCTTCTCTCCCTTCCAAGGAAAACAAGGCTTTAAAGCTGAGAAATCTCATTGCTGGAGGGAAAAGGGGGAGGACTCCCTTACAAAGGGCTTTCACGCATGTTCAGAGATGAGCAGCCTAAAGCCAGTGGCAACAGGCATCAGCCCTTGACCCTGGCTTATGGAGGCGTGAGGACCTGAGCTGTATTTGCAAAGGCAGTCATGCCTCGTAGCTCTTCTGGTTAGGTTGTCCTCTTTCACCGAAGCAGGAGTACTGTGAGCAGGGGTTTGGG